AGGTGTGATGGGGTAGGGGTTGTTTTTGGTTTTTGTAATTTTTGGAGTATAAGCTGACTGGATACGATATTTTCACAGGGCATAGTTGTAAATTAAAGTACATCTTGTGTGGTGCTTATAATCAGTAAGTTTCATTAGGCTATTCAGCATTGCTTATTGGATTGGTGTACAAATTTTCATTTCCTTGTGTTTGTTTATGTGAAATCAGGAATTGTTGAAGGTTTTTTGGTAAACAAGAAACTAATATTATTACTGCTAAAGTTTACTACAGTAAATAGTTTGATTTGTCTAGGACACACAGTACCTAGTCAATCATTTCATAAGATAAAGAAAAAAAAGGGGTTCATCATTGAACATTAAGCTTTCAAAAACTTCCAATTTACTTCCATGCTTTGCTAGTCATCCGCTACCTTGTTGCCTTCCGTTAGTATATGCGTTAAATCCGAACTTCCTGACTCGAGCATTAACCACCTGCAATCCATTTGAATTCTTTGTTTTGGGATTAGTTATATTTTCCTTGATGCAAGACCAAGGAAAGCATAAAAGGAAAGAGCAAAATCTTAACTTTTTGATTTGATATGATTTGGATAATTTAAAACTGCTAAGAGAATCATTATGGATGCAGTACATACCTCAGAACAAAGCTGTAGTTTCTGCACAGAAGAATCTCGCTTCCTCAGTTTCTGCTCAAGGTGACATAAGCTGTATTCCGAAGAAGTTGTGTTTGACTTGTTTCTTTTTTCTTCTGATTCTGATGGATTATCTTCTCGAAAATACTTGTTGTAGACCTTACGTTGTTTGAGATGGAAAATGATAAACATGATGATTCTTCTCCTAGAGGAATTATTGAAGCGTGCATCAGAAACCAGGAGAATGGCTCCGATTCTCCTAAAGCTAAACCCTCAGGTTCTCACTTCTGCTTGTCAAATCCACGGATGCCCTCTCGATGGCACAAGTTCTTCAAAATGTGGAAGAGAAGCTCCATCAAGAGACTACCTACCTTTCCACCTTTAGCCGTTCCGAGGATATCGAGAAGGAAAAGCAGAAGTGCGAGGGAGAATGTAGCAACAGGTTTCTATCACTTCAAATCCTCCTGGAAGAACTTCAGCCTATCTGACCTGAAAAATGCTACCAATAATTTTAGCGAAGGTTTGTAATCTGGTTTAACATCTCTCTCTTTTTTGCATTCAGGCTAATACATTTCTATATGATTATATTTAATACTCTTTCTTGAGCATAAATGTGTATCCTACAGTTGATCTCCTTGTTTGACAGAAAACTTGATTGGCAAAGGAGGGTATGCTGAAGTTTACAAGGGTTGTTTGCCTGATGGTCAGCTTGTCGCGGTTAAGCGCCTCAATAAAGGTACACCAGAGGAGCAGGAAACTAGCTTCCTATGTGAGATTGGTACTATAGCACATGTAGACCATCCTAATACCGCAAGGATGGTTGGTTATGGAGTGGAAGGAGGGACATACCTTGTTCTTGAGTTATCTTCTCAAGGGAGCTTAGGATCATTTCTTCGTGGTCTGTCTCAAAATTTCTCATTACAAGACTAAATTTCTCTTCTTGTAATGGATGAACTTCCCTTTTTTGCTTTAACACAAGGTACTTGCCTGTTTTCTGTCTTTTCAGGCTCAAGGGATAAACTAGATTGGGCTGCCAGGTACAAAATAATTTTTGGTATTGCAAATGGCCTACTTTACCTTCACGAGAATTGCCAAAGGCGGATTATACACAGAGATATTAAAGCTGATAATATTCTACTTACGGAGGATTTTGTGCCTCAGGTACTTGCATTTAAGATTGACAATTAAGGGAAGAAAAGATTATATCCAACATATATGCTGAGATCATGTGTGTTACATAAGTAGGGTTTTCAATAGTTGCCCTGCATATATATGTTTTTTCATATTAGCCTGAATGCTGTGAAGAGAGATGTTAAAATAGATTACGTACCTTCGCTAAAATTACTGGTAGCATTCTTCAGGTCAGATAGGTGAAGTTCTTCCAGGATTATTCGAATGGATAGAAACCTATTGGTACATTTTCCCTCACACTTCTGCTTTCCCGTCTTCATATCCTCGTAACAACTAAAAGTGGGAAGGAAGCTAGTCTCTTGATGGAACCGCTTCCACATTTTGAAGAACTTATGCCAAGGATAGGGAGTAGTGAATTCGATAAGCAGATTTGAGAATCAGAGGGTTAGCTTTAGGTGAATTAGAGTCATTACTCAGCTTCTTATGCATGCTCCAATAATTCCTCTTGGAAGAATATATTCTCTGCTTGTATATGGTCAAATGCTTGTATATGGTCAAAAGCACTTTAACTTTAAGACTGACAATTAAGTGCTACACAGTAAATTTCTTAACTTTGTCGGTTAGGAGACCTTGGCTCACAAATGGTTGGATGCGATTGTTGGTTTGTGGTGGATTTTGTTAATGATTATTGGTGGTGGGCTTTGATGATAGCTTCTTCTAAGAAAGCTAGTATCAGGATGGGGAAAGGGATATAGAGAGGTGCAAAGATGGCAATAAGTGAAATTTAGTGACAAGCCTGTTTATTGTCACAATAAGTGGTGTAGTAGCGTGGAACATAATATAAAGAGGAGCAAAGAGAGAATGAGTTAGAAAGTGGATGAGTACATTTTTATGTGTGATATATCCTATGTACTGCTGAAAGAATGTTTTCTCATGGAGACTAGCAGGAGATGCGACTGAGAGGAGGTAGTGTACTAGTGGAAAAAAGGGAAATAGAGAAGAACAAAGTTGTAAGAGTAAGGATTAGGTGCGCATATATCATGCGAGATACATCGTGTATAACGTTCAAATCACATGTTTCAACAGCATCCTTTTGAAGAAAAGACAAGCTTTCATAACAGAGATTCCTTTAATGGAGACTAGCAGGAGGTGTGACCGAGAGAGGCAGTGTTCGTGAGAAAAGAGAATAGTGAAGAACAAAGATAGCAAGAGTAAAAACATGGATGGATACAAATTGGATAGTTTTGTGCGATACATCCTATGTACTGCTTGAAACATGTTTTCTAATGGAGACTAGCAGGAGAGGCAACAGAAAGAGGTAATGTATCAGTGGGAAAGGGGAAATAGAGAAGAACAAAGATAGAAAAAGTTAAAAATGGATGGGTACACGTTATATGAGATACCTCGTGTGTAACGTTAAAAACACGCGTTTCAAAACTATCTTCTTGAAGAAAGGACAAGCTTTCATAAAAGAGACTCTATAGATAACGGAACTGGATACGTAACTTGAGAAGAAATCTGATTCGGAATACTAGAGAATGTGTGATTTTTTATTAGTTATTGAAAAAGTTTCAAGGTTGCTCACCTACTGTAGATCTCTGAAAGGGAAAGGCTTCAACAAAGGTGTGTTTTCAGTCAAAGGTTTTGACCAAGGAAGTACAACATGCCAAACCATGGACTTGAAACAAGTCTAGACGTCAAGAGCTCCTCATAAGGTGATGTGCTTCTCTTGGATTGTGGCAAAGGAGGTTTGCCTCACTACTGATAACCTTCAGAAAAAGAGGGTTACCCTTATGCCGCAGATGCTATTTATATGGCTGCCAAACGGGAACCATTAATCATCTTTTTTTGCACTGACCAGCTATGGCAGTTACTTTTCAACTTTTCCAGTATCAAATGCCCCATGCCTGGGAATACATGGAATTTTTTGAGTTGTTGGTATAGGCAAGAGTTGGAAGAAAGTGAGAAAAGAACTCGAGATGTTTTGAAGACAAGCAAAAGTCAGTCAAGAGGATTAAGATTGTATCTTGTTATGTCACTTCTCGTGTGGGATATGCAAATGAGGTAGAAACATTACTTGAATTTATAGAGTCCCTCTAAGTTTAGAAGAGGTCTACACTTTTGGATTTTTGCTCACATGTATAACGTTCATGTGATACTCACATGTATAACGTTCAAATGATACCTCACGTGTATAACGTTCATGTGATACCTCACATGTATAACGTTCAAATGATATCTCACATGTATAATCAATCTTTTATGACTGTAATTATTACCGGTTAAGTAAGAAACAAATTCATGTGATATCTCATATATGTAATCTATCCTTTATGAATATAATTATTACCGGTTAAGGAGAAAAAAAACAAATTCATGTGATATCTTACATGTATAACGTTCAAAGTATAGATAATATTCCAGCACTACTTTTATGCCGTTTGTGGATCTAATTATTACTGTTTGAGAAAAGACGAACTCATGTGATATCTCACATGTATATAACGTTCAAAACACATATTTCAAAAGCATTATTTTGAATAAAAGACACACTTTCATAAAAGAGATTCCTTTGGTAGAGATTAGCAGGACAGATAGAGAGGTAGTGTATGAGTGGGAACAGGGAAATCGATAAAAACAAAGATAGCAAGAGTTAAAAATGGATTAACATTCAAAACACATGAGACGCGACAAAGAGAGGTAGTGCATTCGGGAAATAGAAAAGTACAAAGATAGCAAGGAACTAAAAATATATGAGCACAAACTTATGTGAGACACATTGTGTATAACGTTCAAATCTCGTGCTTCGAAAGCATCCTTTTGAACGAAAAATAGTTTTCATAAAAGAGATTTGTTTAATAGAGATTAGCATGAGAGGTGGCCGAGAGAGATAGTATATTAGCGGGAAAAGGAAAATAAAGAAGAACAAAGATAGCAAGAGTCAGGGGTGCACACATGAATTTTTCATAAGCGGTGTCGATATTTTGAAGTAGTGAGAAAATGAACAAATAATTGAAACAATATTGTATTTAAAAAAACATAATTTAAATTATATTAATAAAACATAATTCAAAATATGTTACTACAACTCACCTCAACAAATCTCCTTTTTTTAGAATGTATTCATAATAACCTATAATACACTATCTTAGACATTTTTGTAGATAACTGCAATCAAGCAAAATATAAAAAGTAAAATCATGTCAACCAAGTCCAAAAGTCAGTTTAAATTTCTTTCGATGCAAAGATACAGTTGTAAGTTTATACTTAAAATTTAATGACTAGTTCTAAACTTTTAATTACTAAATTTCAAATTTTCTCTTCTTGATCGCCAAGATATAATGCATAATCGTCGTTTCAACAACTATTATATCGGTTTGCCAGCTTCATTTTGTATAGTGCCATGGACAGGACCTATGGGTGTTGACGTGCATGCCTTAATACCTGGTCGTTTGCCCCGAACTGCTGTTTAAGGGATGCGAAATACCTATTGCGCTGCACTAAATTTCAGGGCTTAAGCTGCTGTGAAGACATTCAATGTTTGTGAAAATTTTGGTTGTCAGCATTTACTATTTCAGCAGTCACACTTGGAACTCCTTGACACAATGATAGCCTCTAGAAACCGATGTGTTTGTCTGTGTATAATAGGTAGCCTATCTAAAAATATTTCTAAGAAAAAAAAAGTTAAAAACAAAGTTTGATGAGGATTGTTATTCTGTAAGTCAGTGCCTTCTGAGTGTAAGAGTGTTTGTCTATTAAGGTCATTCATTTGATTAATAATAGACATGAAAATATCCTTTTATTCCAGATGCACGCATGTGAGAGATCTTTGAAATTAGTTTATTCATTGTTTGTGATTTGAATTATTTATATCTATTTTAAGGAAATTTTTCCTAATTGAGAGGTTTTTCATGTATGTAGTTAAAATAAGGTAATGCACTTGTCATGTAATGTAAAGTACTTGAGATATACCTCCACCAGAAAGCAGTTCAAAACTAAATGGAATTTCTATTATTTACATGAGAAGAAAATTAGTGAGTGGTATGGATGATTGTCGAATTTCCTTTCGTATACGCTAGACAATGGAAGGAAGTCAAGTCACTGGTAGTTTAACATTTCATGTATAGTATATCATATGATGTTTTGGCTCCAAGATAATAGTAAAGTTAAACATCAGTTTGTTTTCTATGAAGTAAAGCCCCAGGTTGTCCTGGTAATCAAATGTTACTCTTTGGACTATAAGAGTGCGATCATAGACATGTACTGATGATCAGAATTCCGCATTCTCCATTCTGTTTTTTACAAAGAAGATATTGAAGAACACGATCCTTTCTTTTATGCTTAGCAGCTAAGAGTATATTCATGGATGGAAGTGCTTCTCTGAAGAAAATTTGAAAAAAATTTATGTCATCATATTCTCCGAGATATCCTTTATAATGTAGTAGCTTACCATCTAGTGTACGTGCAGAGCGAATTTTCTTTGACATAATCATTTTAATGCATGAATCTTTGTTTCTTGAATGAATGATGATTATAGAAATTTATTAATTAATTTACAGGTGTAAGTTAATAAACGGTCCGAAATCATCTTTTTTAGTTTGGTTAGGTTGTCCTCCATGATACAGTCCCATTTTCTAGCTTGGCATTTCTAAGCGTGGAATTTTTGTAGTGTCTGTTTTTCTAATTGCTGGTGGTGGACTGGAGGTGTAGAGGTTGTGACATCCTTTGTGAATCTAGTGTTTATCCACTTTTCTAAGAACACAGATCTTCATTATTGTTAGGATATAATATTCATATTTGTATCATATCATTTTGTGTTCCGAGATGTCTGATCAAAGTTACTGTATGGCATCTATTCCTGGAAAAATGTGTATATGATTATATGACATGACGAAGATGTATCAGAAGCATATCATACTTACACTACGTAATGTAATAATGCATGAAGGAATTTACATGAGAATATGCAATACATGGACGATCTTTATATTTCAGAATGTATGCTGGAGAAATCTGAGAGATATAAATTTCATTTGTCCCAGGATTAGAAATAGAAGTCACACTTCCATCTTCTGTATTTAGTTTTATATATTAAGTACAGTTAACGCATAAGCCAGTCTAATAAATGCAAATTGCAATGGTCCAATAGTCATGATAAAGAGAAATTACTAGCGAAGAGGTTCTACTTCTCATTTTAGTCAGTTAAAGTATTCTTTGAGTTCCATGCAATTTAGTAGACACTATGACTTGAGTGTTGGTTGTTTGCTGCAATTTACCCTTGATTATTGCCTATTCTAAGCATGTGGGCATACACTAACGATGGTCAGCAAATTGTGGATACAGATTTGTGACTTTGGCCTTGCGAAGTGGCTTCCCAAAGAGTGGACACATCATAATGTGGGCAAGTTTGAAGGCACATTTGGGTCTGTCAGTCGCTGAAATCTGAATTGAAAGCTTTGAATATGTCTCTATATCTTCATCTAATGCATTCTTCTTGATATTTTCAGTTATTTTGCTCCGGAGTATTTTATGCATGGCATTGTGGATGAGAAAACCGATGTATTTTCTTTCGGTGTGCTGCTATTGGAGATAATAACTGGAAGACAAGCATTAGATGATTCACAGCAGAGCCTTGTGCTTTGGGTACTTTCTTGTGTCAAGTCTTGAATCATATTCTTTTTTTCTGTAGTTCAGGAATACATCCTTACCATACGAGCATACACGTATTCAACTGTAGGCAAAGCCTCTGCTCGATAAGCACGACATGAAAGGACTAATTGATCCTGTTCTTGGTGATAAGTACAATCCAAAAGAGATGCGGCATGTTATTCTAACAGCTGGCTTATGTGTAGAACAGAACCCACTTATGCGGCCTAGAATGAATCAGGCAAGTAGTTATTTTCTATCACCCTGATTTCCTGTAGTTTTGCAATTCAAGTTATTTTCGTATTATAGAGGTGCGTGTTCTTCTGCTACTATATTATTCCATTTTTTTCCACAGGACTAGGGACTCGCTAACTTTTTGATAAGTTTACTAGGTTAATTCTCAAGGCAAAAACTTCCACTTGGGGCACAAGAGGTAGAAATACAAAAACTGCTGGTTATAACTTATAACTCTATAGCTAGTAAGAGATAGCATTCAATCATCTATCTTTTCTTCTTGATATTTGAAAGGATAAATTATTTTGTAGAGGTAAAAAATAGAGGTTACAATTTGCAATTGTTGAGCCATAAGGAGGGTAAAGCTATTAAATCCATTTGATCATCTAACCCATAAAACAAGAGTTAAGAAGAGAAAACTCCAATATATCAAGTGCATGTTGTTGTATGAATTTTATATAGTAAAAGAAAAGAAAATGCTGTAGTGTGCATTTTAGGTGAAAATAAGTAACCTGCTGATATATAGAGGTCTGCACATCTGCTTATGTATGCATAGGAACCTAAATGAAAAAGGGAAATTTTCTTGATTGCAAACACTTGTAAGAAGTTCTCTGTTATGTTAATTACTAATTTCAGTAGACATTTTGTCTTTCTTTTTCTTTTTCTTTTAGATGGTAGCAAAAGTCTTTATGATCTTGATAGATACCTGCATATCTTTCAGATCGAAAGGCATCCATACACCGCTCACCTCCACCAACATCTCTATTAAATATATATGCGTTCGTTTTTTATAATTCTTTAAAATAATCTATCTCATTAACTTTCCAGTATCACAACACCTCTTTCAGTGTTTATCTTTGGTCTTCTTCCTCAAGGGGCAGCCCGGTGCACTAAGCTTCCGCTATGCGCGGGGTCCAGGGAAGGGCCGGACCATAAGGGTCTACTGTATGCAGTCTTACCCTGCATTTTTGCAAGAGGCTGTTTTCATGGCTCGAACCCATGACCTCCTGGTCACATGGCAGCAACTTTACCAGTTACGCTAAGGCTCCCCTTCTTTAGCGTTTTTCCTCATTCCACCTAATTTTGATTCATCTTATGAAGAACACAATGGCTGAAATTGTTGGAGCAGCTAGTACTTCTCTGCGACTAATCGTCCTTGCATTAACCAAGAGAAAACTTGTCCAGATCAGTAACAATGATCCTTTACTTATTGCAGGTTATGGTCCTGCTGAGAACTGATGACGGCTACAATAAGAAATGCATGCGAAGGACATATTCAGAAGAACTCCTGGATGCAGCCGAGTACAACTCGACAAAATGTTTGCATGATCTTAAACAGCTTAAGCTAAGAAATTCAGTTTCTGAAGACAACATAAAGACCCCTTAGCAGCTTAGCTAGAATTGTTAATCATTTTGTCACATAGTTTAGTCACAGCTTAAAGGAAAATTAAGTTTTTTGGGTGTGTTTTTTACCCTCATATGTACTTTCAGATAATCTTCCCTGTTTTGCATGGAATTTGAGAAAGAGGTATAAAGGCCCTCACTCATTCAAATGCCATGGGAAACATAGTGACCCGCTGCCGAAACTATTTACATTAGGCAGCTGCGAAAGTGTATAAAATTTGTATTTTTTTGTAATTTGTCTTGCCCAAATTACCACCCTGTAATATGAAGCCTTGTCCAGTCAAACGTACGCCATATTTATTGTTTACTTTTTTCAGTCATATACATAGTTTACACATTGATTATACACAATTATACATATATATTATATAAATTATGCATATATTATATCTTCATCGGCTATTTTTAATTTAAGAATTAGGTGGGCGGCTATTTATGTTAATTCTTCAATTTTGAACCAATATCTTAGGCCCAAGAAGAACTGTAGTCGAACTCCTAAGAAGAATTAACCTAATAGCCACTTAACCAATCACGTAAACTAAAAATAGTCGATGGATGCATAATCACATAGAACCCAGATAGCTATTTTAGTAAAGATCAGATATGCTAGAAGCCCATATTATATTAAAAACATACAAAAGGAGAAATATATATTTTTAGCCACTCCCTAAAATAATTGCCGACAATATATATATATATGTATATATATATNCTCTCAAATTAATTGTCTAAAAAGCAAAGCTAATTGTCACTTTCCTTTTTGGTAATGATTTTGAAAAAGATTACTTTTAAAGCTCAAAGAAAGAATGAACAGATGTTTGAATTCAAATATGACCAAGGGATTATTTCTTGCCGTTTATTCTATTTATTTATTTTGAGTTAACTAGATACCACTTTATTTTGTTGACGATAGCTATGCTTTACGACCGGATGAATGTTCCTCTTTGTTTGTGTATTTCCTTTTTGTTATTTTCCCTTTCCAGATTCTACTTATCTGCATCCCGAATAATAGTGTGAAATTTTCAAGAATTTATGTTAAACAAGTATGTAAAATTAGTTAAACAGCGGCACCAACAAATCACTAAACTCTTTGTTGTTTCTAATTTTATTTCATATGTGCGTATTAAATTGATTACCAAACTTTATGTTCCTTTCAAGGAGGTCTTTTAGTGATATTTTTGCACGCATCTCTGTGGTGAAAATGATAGGAACCAAATCTCTGAAGGCCAGAAAGCAAAACATCTAAGTTTATCACATGCTTCGGATTGTTTCATTTTTTTCTTTTTAACATAGTTAAGAAATGAAATATTTCTTCTTTCTTTTTTGAGTTAGTTTACTGATTGTAATTATCCTTATATTATTGTATAGGTCAAAATCCATCTTTAGTCGAAATAGTATTAGTAAACCATTCCTGGGTCTAAATACCAGCGAAGGCCATGGTTGAAGAGTCAGCAAAGAATGAAGATGAGGAGTTGTCATCAAGGCCGAGGTCGAGCAACCCTGACACAGTTATAACGGCTAGTTTCAAGATAGGACACAAAAGAGAATATTCTAGTGGATATTCTCTGCACTTGTACTATTAGGGTTTTTAGGAACATGTTCCCTATAAATAGAAAAAGACACAATGATAGGGGGCATGTGATATTCATTTGTAAAATACACTTTGACTCGAGAGAGAGAATCAGATCTTATTGCAAGCATACCAACATCACCTTTTCACTAAAATTCTTGTCTACACTTTTTCATTAGATCCGAGAATAACTCAGATATTCAAAGAATTATCCATCACTCATCATTGTCAGAAAGAACATTAACCGGTTCCATCCTTTCTTGGGTGACTCATTCATTCTATTTACTTGAATGTCATTTATTATTATTCATCAATATTTAATGCTACATTATTTCCTTTGACTTATTAAATATTGTTGTGCGCTGCCGCTGCCATTAAAATATTCCTACGTAGTATTTATCGCACTTCTGAGAACTTCATCTTTGGGATATTATTGTTAACTAAGATTAACCCTCATGTATATAAATTAAATTAGTCGAACCAAGATCCAGATTTTTTGGTCAAACAATTTGGCGCCGTCTGTGGGGAATTCTTCGTTTCCTCTAAATCTACAATTAACGCAAGTCACTAACATCAAAAACCCCGAGATCTCCTTTCTTTGTGCGTACAAAACCCTACATGGTAGGTAACCAAGGAGAAAGGACAAAAATAGCAAGTGACTTCCCCAGCAACCTCATGAATATTATCAACGAAAGTTGCGAAACAATAGGCGATGACGTGACGCCCAACGTGTCCCCTAGGCGCGAGAGGTCACCTCCCCCACACTGCAGCATAACAAAACCTAGTGGAAAATAGGCCTCCACATCTGAAGAAGAAGGGACGCCCCCAACTGTGAAAAAACTCCTCGAATCATAGCTGATCGACATGCTAGTGAGCGTCCTCAACAAACCTGCTCCAGGCATGGCTGCAGAAACCGCAAGAGCTTGCATGATATAACAAACAAACAAGCAGTGCAACTGACCCAACCCTCCGACTACAGGTATAACTCACAATATTACTAACAGTGCAGGTGACAGTGCCCTCGCTACCGTTCTAAAGAGGATGGAAGAAATGGAGAACGAAAATAAAGCACTCCGAGACCAAATGAAAGAACATTAAGAACGAGTAGGCAAAATACCATGCTCTCCTAAGCTGCTGCCAAAAAGGGACGCCGCAGGTTCGTAGAGCAGCCACATAGGATGATGCAGCCTCGCATGCCATACCAAAAACCTTCAAAATGCCACCCTACCTCAGGATATACGACGGAACGACCGATCCTGAGGATCATGTGACTCATTACATCACAGCCGTGAAAGGCAACGACCTCGCTTAGGAACAAGTGTCCTTTATCTTGCTGAAGAAGTTTGGCGAAACCTTCTGGGAGAGGCATTAATATAGTATTCACAACTACCAGCCCACTCTTTAGAAACCTTCGAAGAAATGGCTAACAAGTTTATAACTGCCCATGCCGGAGCAAAGAAGGCGGAAGCAAGAGTAAACGACATATTCGCTATCAAGTAGTCCTTGGGAGAGGGACTAAGGGACTTCCTCTCCCGATTCAACAGAGTAAGGATGACTCTGCCGAACGTATCCGAAGGATGGCAGTCGCAGCTTTCCAGAACGGGTTGAGTAGAGATGGTTCAAGAGCGACTAGAAAACTGTTGAGCCGATTGATGAAATATCCCCCAACCACTTGGGACAAAATCCATAATGCTTATTGCGCCGAAGTCCGAGCAGACAAGGACGACCTCAACGAACCACTCACCAGCTAACCTCGGTATAAGCCGAATCCAGAAAAGAACGAAGAGACAACACCAGAAGGGATCACCTAGTTCCGCGACCCAACAGAGAATGGAACCAACCATATGTTAGGGCGGCCGCCGCACCTCTCCCCCCCTCCTCCCCGCTTTGAAGAAGTTTTATCCCAGCCAAGAACTGGGACTCACCAGAACGAAAGAGGTATGCCCCCTTTATTATCTGCTCACAATTTTTGTTTGTCACCTATAGAAATAGTCTACGCTCTTGAAAACTCGGAAGAAAGGTGAAGTGGCCGCCGAAGATGAGATCGAACCCGAACACAGAAAATCCGACACCCTCTGTGAGTTCCACCAGGAACGGGGACACAAAATAGAAGATTGCATCGCCCTCAGACAAAAAGTCATAAATATGTTGCGGCAAGGACACCTCAAAGAGCTATGAAACGACAAAGGGATAACTAACTTTTTTGGAGGACGTGAACACCAAGGCCCACCGAAACCACTATCACCAGATCGTACTATCAACATGATCATCGGCGGCGATGACAATGCCTCCATTAACAGCGTGAAGTTAACCACCGCCCACAAGCTAAATCGGTCTATCACCCACGAACGACACAACGGATTCGAAGAAAGTATCATCTTCGATGAGTTGGATGCCGACGGTTTGACTTTTCCTCATAATGATGCCCTCATTATTGCTTTATGCATTTTAGTTACTAATATAAAACGCATCATGATGGATGATGGAAGTGGATTATGCATTATCCATCCCCGAGTCCTCACCCAAATGAGACTCAGGATAGGATAGTGTCGCGCTGCATCACGCTAACCAGTTTTAATAATGGAGTTGAACGGACATCCAGAGAAATTACACTCCCTGTCTTAGTCGGTGGCGTGACCCTGGAGACGTCATTCCACATCATAGACCAAGACACCGTGTACAATGCCATAGTGGGACGACCATGGATACATTCCATGAGAGTCATCCCCTCCAACCTATGTAATTAAATTTTCAACACCATGGGGTATATTCAGCATACGCGGAGAACAACGCACGTCCCGGGAATGCTACCGCATTTCCTTAGATAGCACATCAACATAATAGAAAAAAGACAAGTAAAAAGAGGCATAGCAATCAACAAGGTTGAGGTCGACACAAGAAGAAACTGAGGACGTCATCATGGATCCTGACACGGTCGAGGCTGCAGGTTCGACCATAGAAGACCTCAACCCCGTTCAATTGGACCTCAACGACCGTAGCAAAAAGGCCTATATCGGCTGCAAACTCCGAGAACCAGGTAAATTTAGTCAGTTCTTAATATCTAATGCATATTTATTTACCTTCAACCATGCAGATATGCCAGGCATCCCAAAGGAAATCGCCACGCACAAATTAAATGTTGACCCATTCCACCCCCAGTAAGACAGGCCAGGCATAAATTCAACTTTTCCATCAACGATGCAGTCCGTGAGGAGGTGGAAAAACTATTAGAGAATGGCTCCATTAGGGAGTCGAAGTACCCCAAATGGATCACCAACGTAGTGATGGTCAAAAAGAAAAACAGGAAATGGCGGATATGCGTGGATTTCACAGACGTGAACAAAGCATGTCCGAAGGATTCGCTCCCATTACCTTATATCAACCAACTCATCAACGCAACAGCCGGGCATGAACTATTGAGTTTCTTGGACGCTTCAGGCTATAACCAAATTCTTATGGAGGAAGAAGACCACGTTCATCACCCACCAGGGAACATATTGCTATAGGGTCATGCCATTTGGGCTGAAGAACGCGGGGGCTACATATTAAAGATTGGTAACAAAGATGTTCAAAGACCAGCTCAGTAAGACCTTGGAGGTATATATAGATGACATGCTGGTCAAGTCCGAAAAGGCAGAAGATCACATCGATCATTTAAAAGAAACTTTCGATATACTCATACGGTGCGGAATGAAGCTGAACCCGGAGAAATGCGCGTTTGGCATAGCCTTGGGAAAGTTCTTAGGTTTA